TGAGTATAGGGTGTGGCTAGGAGGTGGCAAGTGCGGGATCGGGCGGCGTAAAGGAGCATTCCCCAATCGATTCTGACCACTGTCCACCGAAGGGGTCTGCCACATAATGGACGGAGCCCAGGCTTTGTTCTGAAGTACTTGCAGCCCCAAGATAGAGCTGAGGCAGGCGCTGACATGGGCCGAACATAGGCCCTTTCTCGACTGGAGCCCTGAGCGTGGGGAGGCTGCAGTTGGCTCTTGATCAGCTGTCTGGGGGAAGCAGGTGGGTATACACTCAGAAGGCAGCGGCTGCTCACGGCATTGTGGTGCCAGGATGTAGCGATGAAAGGCGCTGAATAGAGTGTACCGTGTGGAGGCCTATGGGGAAGAAGGCCTACAAGATCAGGGTGGTTTGGGGGTAAAGGCCGAGGAGAAACCTCAGGCTCATGCAAGACAGCTTCTATGGCATCCGGATGTTCCCGTAGTAAGGAGGGCTGAGTGTCGGTCCGAGGCCTGGTGGTGTCGCTGTGGTCCTGGGCAGGATAGTGGGGGTGGTGCTGCTCACTGGCCGGGTTGCCTAATGCAGATAGTGAATGCACATCAGCTCTAGTCGGATCCTGGGTTTTCGGCTGGGAGTCGGTTTTGCCAAAGCCGGTTGAGCATGTACAAGCTGCACGTATTGCGTAGCAGTGGCAGCAGCGGTATCCCGCTCGAATTAGCATTTTCGCACATGCCCGGCTGCGTCGGCTTGGGAGAGGTCCAGCCTGGGCATCTGCTTGCTCCGATAAGCGGCTGCCCTGCAGGGCGGAGGAGCTGGCGAAAGTCCCCTGAGCGGGGTGTCTTGTTGGGCCCATCTCTACGGGCAGCAACTCCGTGTCTGCTCCACCCATTGCCTCATCATTGTGGGCCTGCTCAGCATCCGTCATCATGTGTGAGGTCGGCCCCACTGCATTGGTAGCAGAGCTAGAGCTTGGCGTCTCCACTCTCAAGTGCGGGGCAATGCTCGGTCTCATCGCATTTGGCGCACGATTTCGGTTTCGGGTACTTCTGCCTGATCGTGCCGACGGCGTTGGCTGAGAGGAGGGCACATGAAGACGAAAGGCATCTAACGGTGTGCCACTGCCATGGTTCACTGGTACAAGATGACTGGGAGGAACAGGGAGGTCAGGGGCATCGTCAGGATCTGCTCGAGGCCGTGGGATAGTACGAAGCAGCGCCCCTATGGGCGTACCCGGCATGCGGGACCCCGCCTGGTTGGCCTCCGAGGCGACTTCAAGAGATGTGCCTTCATTGTCGGAGCGGGCAAAGAGAGCAGAAAGTTCTTCGTCCATGCCTGGCGGCGGGGTGGCAAGATCTGCAATCGAGCCCAAGAGGTCTGAGTCATCCGAGTCCACGCTCATGGCAGTAACTTCCGGACGTGGAGAGCTGGACTTGGACCAGGGCTGCTGTTTACAGGCACTGAGCAGGGTGAGGGGCAGAGGCAGAGGGAGCCTACCTAGTTGTTCGTGTGACGGAATCAAGTGCCCTCCAGTGCCGTCATGAGCTGGCTTCAGGTTAGAGAGGCATAAGCAGGCTAGCCCTCTCCAGCTCTTTAAGCAGGCGGTCCTTCTGTCTGGTGGGAGACTCCAGCTGAAGTTTTGCGGCGACCTGTAGCAGGGCGTCAGGGAAGGCAGGGTGGCACACAACAATGCATAGGCGCAGGCAGCGAGTGAGAGAGTAGCCCACGGCTTGTGAAGAGTCAGAGTGACTGCATGCTCTAGGGGCATCTGGGAGATGGAGGTGCCTAGGGGGCTGGGCGGGCTCTGACCAGCTGTCGGAGGCAGAACCTCCGGCAGAGACAAGACGGTGCCAACGACTGCAGGGTGCTCCCCACGGCCTGCTCGCTGTGGCGTCGCTAGGTCCTGCAAGAAGGGACATGGGGTGCAAGTCTCAGAGAGATGCTGCTTCAAGGCAGAGGGAGTGCAAAGAGAGAGTGCTGACAGCCTAGGCACAGGAGACTGCATGTATGCATCACTCGGGCGGGCAGATTGAGTCTCCGTCTCTGCTGCCTTCTGTACAGATTCTATGTTCGATGTCTGCGCATTGGCCGAGCGCCTTTTATGCCTTTTGGCACTCACCTCCGGCGGCGGAGGGGCCGGTTCAGTTGGGGGATGACGAAGTGCAGCAAGCACCCAGTCCGGCATGTTAAGGATCGGTGTGGTCTCACCATTGCCTCTGTCCAGCAACCATGGACTATCCTGATTTAAAGGTGTAGCCGTGGTAGTCGGGGCTGTAGTTCCTGATGACGGGCGAAGGGTCCCGATTGCATGAAATTCGACACCTGTGCCATCCTTCTGCGGTGTGGGGAGAACCAGCTCGATGGTGGAGTTGGTGCTGTGTGGCTGTGGTTCTTCCCCCGATGATGCCACGATCTCATCTTCAGCTGAAGGTCGGCCTGTGATGGCATGTTGCTTCTTCGGGCGGCACTTGGATTTGACAGCGGTGGATCTGGCCACCAGTGCCCGAGCTTGGCCTGGAGACAAGCGCAGCCTAGTCACGCGTGTTTTAGGCTTGGCTGCTGCGAGTGTCTGTCTCTGCTGCCTGCCAACGGAGCCCTTTGCAAACTTTGGGGGGTTCTCTGCTCGTGGAGGAGTGACCGGCTGTGCCATGTGTGAAGCTGGAAGGTCCGTGTTCTCCACTTTGGGGGTAGCTATCATCCCGAGAGCCGGCATGGCTTTGGCCAACGGTTCCAGATGCACTCGCTGTGGCCCCGTCCTTGCTTCCAAGGATGTTCCACTCTGTTCCTCAGAAGGGACCTCCACCATAAGATCATCGGCCTGATGCTCCGCAGTAGGGGACGGAGTCCGTGGCGGGGGAATATCTTCCACGACTACATCCTCCATGTCGTCATCTGCGGCATTGAGTGCATGGGGCTCCAGAGGAGTCGGAGTGGATGCAGAGACCTCCGTGTCTTGCGGAGGAGTGGCAGGATTAGGGACACGGCGAGGCGGTTCAGGTGGAGCAGGAGGTCGTCGTTGTGGTGCTGGCCTCCAGTTTCGTGAGAATACGGTGAGAGGTGGTGGTTGTCCTGTCGCCTCGGAGTCGCGAAGCCCACTTGCAGTCCGTGCCTCCCTTAGCTCTTTGAGACGACGCCGTGTCTGCTTGTCTGGCCTTCTAGATTCTCTCTCATAATCGCGCTGTGTTTTGATGCGCCGCCCCCTGCCGGTGGGGGGATCCTCTGGCGGATCCGCTGACAGATCCATCTCCATCTGCTGCTCTGGGAGTCTAGCTTCTCTGGGCAGCTTGAGAGGCCAGGCCGCAGGTTGGAGAGAGGGGCTTCGATCGCACTGTGAAGAGGCTGGCTGTGACCCTTCTGCAGTCCTGCACGACTTACTAGACTTGTGGGCACAGGACAGTCCTGGCTGGGTCTGGCCGTTCCGCTGCGGCTGCACCGGCCGGGTGCACCGGCAGGCCAGGCGAATAGGGACCTCACGCCAGTGGAGGCAGAGGGGAGGGGCCGGAGGGAAACCTCCTAGCCACTGACAGCACAACGGAGGGGAACCTCCTCTATGTGTCACTGCAGGCAATGCGGTTGTGGGAGCCCATGAGACAGTGTGGCAAGACAGGCGAAGGAGACTGAGGTGAGGGCCATGTTGTAACAGTCGGGTGCCCTGCCTGAGCCGGGAGTGCAGCGAGAGTTTGCTGATCCAGGATCCTGTGCAGCCTGGGCTCCTAGTTTTGCTAGCAGTTACACCTGTCGTATGGTGGCCTACGAGCAGTATCAGGCATGGCGGGGGCTCAGGGCTACTTCGTGCAGCTTGTGATGTGGATTTCTTTGAGGTCCCGACGAGAGTCCAGTCCACAGTCCAGGGTAGGCTCGTTGAGGTCGCGGCTGTGGTCAGTTCGCGTTCCATCATCCGAACGCTCTGCAAAGGTTCCAGTCTGTTCACTCGTGTAAAACTGCTACGTAGGAGACTGTGTATATGCTGGCCAGTTGCCCTACTGGGGCAGAGGCTGGGATGAATCTCAAGAACAGCTCGCACTCGGCGAAATCCTTTCAGCATGGAAGTCAGACCTGAGTTTTTGTTATAGATCTCGCACCGGAGTTGCAGGGGGTCAGTCCATCGATTCGAGGTCAGCTGCACGGCAGATTCTGGAAGCATATGCGGCATCCAAAACACTGGTTGCGAAGGCTGCATCAAGTTCATAGGTGTTAGCCAGAAAATCCACTCGCTGTTGCGGGGAGAGCCATGTCCATGTCTCCTGCCAGATACAAAAGGAGGAGGTGCGTAGCCACGAGCTGCCATAGAGGTTGTGTATGCTGATCCTAGAGCTGATGGGCAAAGGTCGTAGGGCCAAGAGGAGATATTCCATGGCCAACTGCCGTAAATGGAACTCTCTCGATGACTCCCAGCGCCACCATGTGGCCAACAGTGGTATCTTGTTTGCACCGTGAGGAGGGCAGAGTACCATATCCATGACATACCCACAGCCCTGAAGCCCAGAAGTCCGAGGAGCATAGGAGGGGAGGGGGAAGGGATAGCCCTATGCGGCAATGAAAAGAGGGGTGAGAGACGAAAACCACCCCCGGGCGTGTTATGACGAGCTGAGACGCTTAGTAGTAGTAGTAGTAGTAGTAGTAGTAGTAGTAGTAGTAGTAGTAGTAGCAGTAGCAGTAGCAGTAGCAGTAGCAGTAGCAGTAGCAGTAGCAGTAGGAGTAGGAGTAGGAGTAGGAGTAGGAGTAGGAGTAGGAGTAGTAGTAGTAGTAGTAGTAGTAGTAGTAGTAGTAGTAGTAGTAGTAGTAGTAGTAGTAGCTTTGGTCATTACAGTAGCAATGGTCGTGGGAATGATTGACACGTGTGCTGTGACCTGAAAACCAAGACATTGGAATCTAGGAATCTCTCACAGAGCTCCAAGCTTTTGAAATAGAGTCACTACTGGCATATCTGGACGCAGCTTGTGTAGTCTGTTGAGTATCTTGATAGATTCGCTGGAATGCGCCTTTCTTAGCCTGGTCGTGGTTCAGCTTGGAGCAGCGGTCCATGATCGCGGGCTCCAGCTCTGCCCTGCAGGACTTGTTTTCCTACGCATGTCCCAAGTTCGTGGCGGCCTCCATGCCAGATCTTGAGAGTGATGCCCTGAGACACCATTGTGCAAGATATAAGATTTCGCGGCAGATTGGACACCTGAAATGTCGACTGAGACCTGGAGAACTTTACAGCAAACGAAGCACACCAGCGGCAGCTGACTCTTTTCCTGCAAGAGGCAAGGCTGCGACAAGCAGTGTTTTGCATGCTGTTAAGAGCCGTGAACATGTGTTTGGCTGCTGCAGTCGTGCAGACCAAGTACTCGGTCCAGCAACATGGAATGGCAGGTGAGGCAGCAGCAAGCCCTCCCAACGATTGGCTCTTACATGAAGCTCTACACGTCTTTGCAGACCTCCAAGTGCCTACCTGAGACCCGAGAACGCTGGACCTCAGTCGGTCGGCCACATCGACCACATGGCCTTAGCTTAGTAACTTAGGCTGGCCCAGCTCTGCGAGATGGACGGAGAGGGTCTCCGTGACCAGCTGATGTGCGCCGGCAGCCCCAGAGTCTCTCAAGGAGGTTTGAGCAAATCGTTCGCTTTTTGCTCTGGATCACGTAGGTCATGCACAAGACTCGACAGCTGGTGCATCAGAGAGTTGGCACGCCGCTGGACGGTGCCACAGCCTCAGTTTCTCGATGTCATGACCCTCTTTCACCCGATCTCGAGCAGGTCTGGTAGCATGAAAGGCATGAATCCAACAATCTCGATGGCTACTGTGAAGGAGCTGCATCCCTGTGGTGAAGTGGAGTTCTACCTGGACGGAGACATGGTTTTTAACTCAGACTTGCTTAAAGCAGGAGCGCCCACTCATGTCACTTCGCATGGCCTGTGAGGTGCACATCAACGCGCAGAAGCCGCAGCGACCACACGCCGACGTTTTCCTGGAGCACATCCGGAAGTTTCAGGCACCATGGCCGCACGTTGTCCGATATGTGTGACTGGAGGGTGCCAGAGCTCACAGAGAGAAGCTCTATCTAAATAAGCAGTGGTTATGGTGCGGTCATCAGCTCAATTGCCTGTCCAGGACATCCTGAAGCGAGCTGACAAGCTTGACAAGCCATCGAGCTGAGTTGCTGTGCGGCGCGGAGAATCTGACCTTATCCACCGTGCCCAACGGAATGCTGCACAACAAGTAGTCAGACAGCTTCATCAGCAACTGTGAAGATGAAGCAAAGCAACATCTAGTCTGCAAGCAGAGCATACAGCAGCGCACCAGACGGATAGCCTGCTACTGCTCCAGTCTTTGGCAAACTCGACATGGCAGACAGTGCAAATCTACAAGACTTCAGCCAAGCAGCGCCCAGCGCGTCCGCAGCCTCCTGGACATCAGTTAAAGATCCAGCAGATGATATTAACAGGTGGATCTCGGTGGGACATGTCACTGTATTTACCCGTAGATGTGGGCTGCGGACCGGAGGATGCGCTACTTCGGATGGAGCTAGGATTCTGCAGTTGCCAAAGAGAAAAAAGTTTGTCTGGTAAGAGAGTTTACCTTCGAGTTGTTTGAAATACCATTCGCATTTGGTCGCCCAACCCACCCATTGGATCCAACGACGACTTGGATGTCTTCTGGCACATTTCCGAGGCTCATAGGTTTGTTCTCATGGATAGACGGAAGAACCATTACCAAGCGAAGAATCCATGAAAGGACAATTTGTCAACACACGGTGTAAGCAGAATGATTGCCATCGACATGTCCTCTTGTGGTCCGACTTGGCGGACTCGCTGTGTAGCCACTGCTAACATTTTCTCTGATAGCATAAGCGAAGAAACACTACCTTTATCATGCTGACGTGATTAGTCAGCGCGTGGCCGAGACATTCCACCTGCGAGGTGCTCCGTAGACTTCCTGGTGGTTTAGCAGAGGGTGACGAAGCTTCCGATCATCGATTGCAGGTCGTGGCATGCCCCGACTCGACGACCCGACTAGTCCTAAATGATAGTCCTGCGAGCCTTCGTTTCGCTCATAGACAGCACGTAGGCTGGCAGATGGCTTAATCGTGGGTATAGATGCAAACGGGAGAGTCTCGGAAAGCTGCAGCTTTCCCGGGCCTTCGTAGCTCATGTGTTGGTCGGGCTGCGAGTCGGAGCGATCGAAAGCCAAGCACTCCGACAGTTGTGGACCTCAAAGAGCAGCGGCCCGGAAATAGGCAACGAAGTCGGACAAGTGTGTCGGATTTTGTTAATCGGTTTGAGGTTGAGCAACCACGAGCAGACGATCTTGCACTGATGAGACAGGACAAGAAACAGAGGGGTTAAACTAGAGCAGCGGAATGTGAGAAAGCTCCAAACACAGCGCGCCGGGTGAAACCAACTTTACATGCAGTTCGAGAAGGTCTCGGCAACGTGCATCGGGAACGGCCTTGAAGCCGCACCGGGACGGAAAGTAGGGCCCTTAAGCCTCCTCCAAAGCCTTTCACATTGGTTCCACAGCTGTGAGCGGCGCAGAGACTGGACATAACAGGAGCAGCACAAGGTCCGTGCAGCTGGAGGTAGCAGAGACTCTGCAGAAGCTGAGACAAAGACACTCAAATATTTTCAACATGCAAAAATCCACTCACCAGTTGAAGGCTCTCCAAGGGGACCTATATATACTCAACCCGATGCGTCGATGCGCTCTTAATTATTAACAGCTGATTTCGTTCGGGCTTGAGTGGCTTGAATGGCTGCTCTCATTTCAAGAGTCATGAGAGCTCAAGCTCGCATATGAGACTTCGTGTCCTACATGCTCCCTGCCAGGAGGTGCACATGTCCAGCTGCCATTGCCCCATCAACTGTTGCCCGAGTCTCAGTAGCAGCATATTCAAATTGATCGTTCAGCGTCGTTCTGCGCACAGGCCATGCATAGGCAATAAGCACCGAGCGCGTTTTGTATGTCGGTTCCTGTGGAGCTGCAAGGTGTGGATCCAGATGTTCCAGAGAAGAAAGGACCAGCAGCCGGCAAGGTTAGAAGTCAATGTTGCAATTTGAGCCGAGTGTGTTCGTATCCGGTGAGAACGACGGACAGTCGTCAACGTTGCAGCTGTTGCAACATGAAGGAGCACCCAAGTTCGCCAAACAGATCGGCTCCTCGGGTCTGCAACGCGGAGCAGAGCGCAATTTGGAGTAAGAGGTTTCTGTACAGAGCCTGGTGCTGCGGCTTCGGTCCATGCGACTCCTGGCATTGCAGAATGGAGCGTCAGGAGACTTTGAGGACACATAGGGGTTCGTGGTGTAACTAGTCAGAATACACACAACTGGAACTGCACCCCCCACTGGTTGGCAAGGTGCCTTCACAGATGATGAGGAGCCCATTGATGACTCGGTCTTGGCAGTTCAGGAGTGGACACAGGGGTATCAATCAAGACGGGAGTGGGACCCTGGCACATGTGGGGCATGCGGGCAAGTTGGACAGTGCGCTTCGCAGGACCGGTGGTACAGGCACATGGGCGGCTCATGTGAGTGTTTCTTCTTATGGTACTCATCACCTGCGAAAGTTGTCGCTGTCACATTCGCTGATGCACAGCATGCTGCATATTGAAGTAACAGTGTCTAGCTACTCAGCACTTGCGTGGACACAGGCCGCAGGCTGAAAAGCAGCTGCCAGAACCTGACGAGAGGCACATCGCTTGTAGCAGCAAGGCATAGCGTTGTCCAATTGGACATTTTCAGGGCCGTAGAGCGCAGAACCAGGCTGAGACAGGAAATCGGAAGCTTCACCGTCACCTTCGAGAGCGCAGAAGGACTGTAATCACGGAACCGTGTCCCGAAGGCTGGCATTGATTGGGAAGGGGAGTCCAATTGCTGAGGGCTTGTTTTTTTGTGGTTCTGTCGGACACTGTTCTTTTTGTTGTGGCTTCTTGGCTTTCTGGCTTTGTGGCTTCCTGACTTTCCGGCTTTGTGGCTTCGCCCCAGGAAAAAGCACCCAAAACCCTAATTTTTCTGGAGCCATTGACTAACAGAGTTGCAGGATACTCTGTTCTTCTTGATCCTGAAGGAAGCCGTAAGGAACCAGATCCAGGCAGTCTGCAGCTCCGTTCCTCTAAGTTTCCTTCGTGTTCTCCTCGTAAGGCCCAAGCGGTCCAAGACCCGTGGATGCAGATCGTTTGGCTGCTTTGATTTCTCGGCTTCAGCAGGCTGAGCAGGAGGCGCCGACACCTACGGCACAAAGCCTCATGTCAGCTCATGCTTCCGAAACCTTTGTGTCAAGACAATGCATCGGGCATTCTCAGGACACAAGGCTGCAGGCGATCAGGCGATCTTGAGTTGAGCTGATTCCCGCCCGCAGGCCGCCCGAAGAAATACGCGCATTCGGATTCCGACCTTGAGCCTTGGCCATGAGACTCCCAGGTCCTGGGTCCCGAAAACTGGTTTTGCAACGAGTCACAGGAATGCTGAAACCAGGACTGAGCAAATAGCCAAGGACAGCGGGTGGTTGCTTCTTGATCGTTGCAATCGCGCCTCCAGCTTGCAAAAATGAGTTGCTGTAACTTGACACTGGTGGTTTTGCTTTGGGGTCCTCCTGGAAAGAGATTCGGTGATGAAGACCGATGCAGAATGACAAGGCTGTTTATCATGCTGCAGATTCATCCTGAGCCCTCGGCAACTCGGCGGCGTGCTTCGTACTGGCATGCAAGGGGGCAGAGGCTTGAGATTGCACTTCGCAAGTGCGCAATGAGTCCACGACGCTGCAGCTGTACAGCGATGGTGCATGTTCGCGGTTACCACATGTTACGACTGCTCTGGAACAGGTGAAGTCCGTAGCCCTGGTTTGGTCAGGTTGCTAAGTCGTCATGGACACGAACTCGTGGGCATTTTTCGGGCCATAGAGTGGAATGTCATTCTGTGCGCATGTGCTGAAGCTGTTGAGACTCCCAAGGCATCTGTCGTCTTTGCATATGTCGCTGGATTTGTCCTCGCCTCGATCAATGATTCCTGAAGTCTCAGGGGTTCGGAAGCCGTAGCAATCTCGCAAATCAGGCTCTTTGCACGGCTTTGGCCAATGTGCTCTTGCTTCTGGCAGTCATTCCTGCAGACCGAAAGCCACTTGGCTTTGCCAGCAGACCCTAAACGCTAAAAGTTGCAGTGAAGGCGGAGCAGTTCGTAGCTTGCAAGCCTTGTCCAGGCTACAGCGCTTCTTGAGACTGCCACCTGGTTGGATTCAGTCGGTACCATTGTTATTATTACTACTATTATGATTACTAGAGTATAGTTGTTTCTACTATTACGATAGTAATCCGTGCTACTGTAGTTACTACTATGATACTTATCACTACTATTAGTATTACTATTACAACGCGCCAACGCCACGTTTGCACGCACAAAGCACTGCCACACAGATAGCTATACAGCAGCGTCGAAACCACGAAGGTACTTTGACACGCAGCATTTTCCGCACATATGCAAAGCGGGAATTGTACACTGCAGCGCTCCTCATGAGTTGAAGAGCCATGCGGACTAGAGCACGGACGTCATCATGGCTGGACCATGGGTGCTGTCTCGGAACGGATTAGACCATGGACGTTATCATGGTTCCAGCCTGGATGCTCTCTTCTCTGATCATATGGTTCCCAGAGTAGATGCTCTCTTCTCAGAACGGACTAAACCATGGACGTCATCAACGCAGAACGGATTAGATCATGCGCATCATTATATGGTTGGGCATGGATGCTATGAACTCACAATGCACACAAATCACTGTTCGCACCAAGGTTTTGGGCATATCGAAGTACAGGAGGTGTGGAAAATGCTGTGCCAGCATTTTCTGCGACAGCAGAAGCAGCACTCTTGCGCACGAACGTGGTGTTGGTGGGTATGACTGTTACGACTTTTATGATTACAATTACTATTATCGTCCTATCAATGTCTCGACATGAGCTGCAGCGAGGATCTTTGGTTGCGTTGCGCTTCCATCCGGCGCCCTGACCAACACTGTAGAGCCACCACAAGCGAGAGTATCGACGGGTGAGATGCTTGCCAAATGCCTGTGTACATGATTACATGACCATTTGGGATTTACAGGGGCGAGCGAGTCAGGCATCTTCATCACCCACCAGGGGACATCAACCGGCCTGGAGGCGAGAAGCCTTG